CTTGCATTCTATAAGATCATAATAAAGTGAAAATAGAAAAATAAATATAAAATTAAAAATAGAAACTACTCTAACACCTGGAGACTAAATAATATGCTATTGAATGGCCAATGAAGAGCAGAAGAAATCAGGGGAGAAATAAAAAAAAATCTTAGATGTAAATGAACACAGCAACATATGAGAATCACTTGGACACTATGAAGGCAGTTTTAAGAGGAAAATTCATTTCCTGAGCTTGTTAAGAAATAGAAAATCAACAAATAAATAAACAAACATTACTCTCAAAACCCTAGAAAAAGAAGACCAAATCAACAGTAAAAGCAGTTGAAGACTGAACTAATTAAAATCAGAGCCCAAAATCAATGAAATTGAAACAAAAAGTTTTTTCAAAAAATTGAAGAGATGAAAAGTTGGTTCTTTGAAAAAATAAATTGATAAAAATTTAGCCAAAATAACAAAAGGCAGTGGTGGGGGGCTCAAATTACTAAAATTCCTGTGCAAAAAAGAAAATACCACCATGGACACTCCTGAAGTATAGACAATAATCAGAAACTATTTGAAAATTCATACTAAAAATAAATAAAAAATCTTGAAGACATTGAGAAATTTTGGGAGACATATTAACTACCCAAATTGAATGAGGAGGACATAGAAAATTTAAACTGGTCACTTTTAAAAAGCAACAAAATTGAAGATGCCATAAAAAGCATATGAACAAAGAAAAGCCCAGGACTAGACAGATTCTCAGCTGAGTTTTACCAGAATTTCAAAAAAAGAATTAACACCAATACTCTGAAAATTATTCCATGAAATAGAAAAGGAGTGAACCCTTCCAAACTCATTCTATGAAGCTAGTATCACCCTGATACCAAAAGTAGATAAAGGACACATCTAGGAAAGAAAACTTTAGACCAATATTCCTGATGAACATAGATGCAAATATTCTTTTTTTAAAGATGAAAACTGTTCTTAGACTTTATTCATGAATAACTTATCAAGTATTTATTGAATGTCTACTACACTCTCAGCTCTAGAAAGAATCTGGCATGACAAGGGAGTTTGTCATTCAAAATACAGCACATCAAGAAATGATTCTGAATCACTAAAAACTTTCATTTTATCTTTCAAGATGTACATAGATACGGATATCCTCTGTAAGGTCAAGTATAATCTTTTATTATATTCTCTGAGTTGTCATAAGGGTACTTTGAAATCTGTATGCTGGCAAGGCCCCTTTGTCTAACTGTCTTCTGCTACTTAAGACTAAGTCAAGTATTTTGTTTTCACTTTCAGTTTTCTCCAACATACCCTCTGCAGCTCGTCCAACCAGCTGTCTCTTTCTGTGACACTTTACTTTCCTCTTCACTGGGCACTTGTTACTTTCCTCCTTGCAAAAGCCTCGTCAACCAGTCTTTTTCATCTTCCTTTATTTGGTTTCTTATCCATTTGGTTGAAAAATATTAGCACTTCTTTTAAGTCAGGTCTTCAATAAGTATAATTAATTGGAATTTTCAACTGGTGTCTTTAAACTTTGTTGTAATCTTCATATTTTCTCTGTAACAACACTCTCTTCCTCAAAGTTATTTAGAAATATTATCCTCCAAAGGACAATGGTTTCTAGAAGTTTATGTCTCAAATGTTGTACTACACAAAACTGATAAAGGAATGCATAACTCAGTAAAGGACGTTTGTACTGCATTGTCACTTCCCACCACTACATATACTGGATTCTGCCAAGATGACTGTTAAAGACTCATTTGTTGTGGGATGTGACTTCATACTCATAAAGGTTAGATCAAAAGTAAGATTTTTGGTTCTCTGGTACTAAATTAAATGTAATTTATATGACACATGAAGTCTAAAACTTACAAAACTAAATGATAAAGTCAAGATAGTTAACTATCATTTATATGTCTATCATCATCATCACAAACTATACACTTAAAAATCAAACTACTTATGAGTCTGTAAGTCAGAGGCTGTCTAGCAAACGGCCTTCTATGACTCATTTCCTTTTACATTTTTAACTCAAATAGAAATATGTAAGATTCAGTAAATTTTAATTTTCCAAAAGTTCTCAGAAAGAATTATCAGAATCATCCTCCAGGAAAAAAACACAGTTGGATAATCCACTTTTCACAAATGAACTCCGTACTTGTTGTGAGGTAGCAATCAACAACTCTAAGACCTTCTGTGGTGGCAGTTCCCGCTACTTTCAAGCATTCCCTCTGCACCTGAAGATCATGAACAAAGAAGGGACCAAAAGAGTCCACTTTTCATTGTTTCACTGACTTCTCGTGTTTTCGTAGTATGCTAAATGCCTGATTTCAAATTTACAACAACAAAAAATACCAATATTTATTCTGAAAAGTAATTGGATGTTCCAACTAGCAGATATTAACAAGTTCCAACACTATCTCTAGGAATAATTCAAAGTTCTGAACCGTGCTTTAGAAAAACATTTCCAGGGCTGGGGTTGTGGCTCAGTGGTAGTGCACTTGCTTAGCATGTGTGAGGCACTGGCTTCGATTCTCAGCACCACATATAAATAAATGAATAAAATAAAGGTTCATCTACATCTAAAACATATTTAAAAAAAAAGAAAAAGAAAAACATTTCCAGCAGTCTGTGCAGGATTTATTCCTATTCCATCATTAGTAATAACTGCACTGTTGCTGCAGGAACTTTAAATTCTTCTGCTGCAAATTTTAAGACTGCTGTAAAAGGTGTACTCTCAGGAACACTAACTACTTTATAAGGCAACCGTGGGTCTGACGTCAGCGTAATCTTAAAGGAAACCTTCCACATGGTGGAGTAAGTCTGGGCGAACACACCACACCAAATTGGCAGAGTAGCTCCAAGCCCTCACCAGTCATGCAAAAATTCTTAATAAAATTCTGGGAAATCACAAAATAATATTTAAAAGATGGTGCACAAGTGTGTTTAATCCCAAGGATGCAATATTAGTTCAACATACGGAAATCAATAAATGTAATTCACCACATCAATAGACTTAAAGACAAGAATCACATGATTATATTAATAGATGCAGAAAAATCATTTGACAAAATACAGCATTCACTCCTGTTCAGAACACTAGAAAAAGTAAGGATGGTAGGAACATACCTCAACACTGTAAAAGCTGTATATGCTAAACCCAAGGCCAATATTATTTTACATGTAGAAAAACTGAAATCTTTTCCTCTAAACACAGGAACAAGAGAGGGATGGGTTTTTTTACCATTTCTATTCAACATAGTCCATGAAACACTGCCCAGAGCAATTTGGCAAAAGAAAGAAAATAAAGAGATATGAATAGGAAAAGAAGAACTCAAGCTATCCTTATTTGCCTGTGACATGATTCTATATTTAGAAGACCAAAAAACTCCATCAGAAAACTTCTTAAAACTCATAAATAAATTCAGCAATGCAGCTGGATATAAAATTAACAACCATAAATCAATTCTGTTCCTATACATCTGATGAAGCAGCTGAAATAGAAATTAGGAAAAGTATCCCATTCACAATAGCTTCAAAAAATTAAAAAAAAAAAAAACAACTTTGGAGTCAATGAGTCATGTTTTTTGAGGGGGTGACAGTGGGGGAAGATTAAAAAGTTTTGCTAGTGAGCTTTTCATTTTTTAAAACTTTTACAGAATCAATTTTTGCCTATACTAATTTTCTCTCATATCTTTCATGACACATAGTATAGTTACAGTGTCTAATGGTTCTGTTCGCTATAAATTATTGACTAGTAATTATTCTTTACTTATGGAATGACCTGATTTATTGATGGAAGTTCTGTTTTCATGAGTACTTAAGTCAGTGAAAATTAACAGGAGTGACCCTGGTTTCCTAGCTGTGTCTATGTGTGTGTGGTGTGTGTGTGTATTTTTCATTGTCTTCTTCTGTTCTTCTTTCTATTGTCTCCTCTTCTGCCCCAGACATATTATTTGTTTTCTAAAGAAATTTAAAATACTTATTTTTAAAATAAGCTTTGTATTTTAGTATAAACTTAGAGAAAAAGTGCAAAGATACTATGGAGTTTCATGTACCCATACCTGATTTTCCTTATTATTAATATTTTATATTTGTATGGTAATTTGTCACAACTGATGACCTCATATTTTTATATAACTATTAAAAGACATGTTTTATCCAAATTTCCTAATTTTTTTAATCTAACATACTTCTTGTGTTTCATCATTCCAAATTACAGCATTATATTTAGTTGTCAAGTCTCTTTTGTCTCCTTTTGACTGTGACAGTTTATCATTTTTCAGTAAAACAGAAATTATAATTTCAAAAATTAGCACACTAAGGCAGTTGATTATATTGCTATTCTCACATGGGATTTGGTATTAGGAATAATGAGGGGTTCACATGAGATAAGTCTAGATGGAAAAAGGAGAAAAGACCAGAGAAGCATCTGAAACACCCACAAACATACCCATGAATGAATATTTGCCATGTGGATAATTATTTAAGCTAGATATTTGACAGCTCATTGTGGAATTATTTATTTTTATTCATTTTAGCTTCATAATCAACAGCACATGTATGCATAATTTTTATATTTGTGTATGTTTCTGTGTGTCTATGAAAAAATACCTCTGGTTTCTGTCTACTTGATGCAGCACACTTGAGTCCACTTAAACTTATAGCAGCTTGTGCACGGGGTGACTAAAATGTTAAATTTTCTTTGCTTAACTTCACACAGTCCTCGCAAACAAGCTTCATATAGTTTTTCACTTTTGATATAGAAGTTGTATAACATCATCATTTGTTTTTCAAAATTCTGTGCTACTTCTTATCACTCAAATAATCATTTTCAAGTCCTAAAATGTTAAGACATAACCTTTATCCAGTAGTGGGTGGCCATGCTTCATTCTCCAAATGAGCAAAGTGTGATGTGCAGTGATAAAAAAGGAAGTGCTGTGGTTTGTATCTCCTCTTCACAGGAAGATGAGATCAGAAGAATAGTTATTATACCTTTTTCTCAGGAATCAGAATTACTTGAGCATCTCTCTTGTCAGTTCTAAATTAGGAGCACAGGACACATCTACATTTTCTAGTTATGTAGAAGGCTTTTATCCACAAGAACCAAGATCTTCCTTCTTGATCAGGTGTGTGTGTGTGTGTGTGTTTGAGTGTGTGTATGTGTGCGCGCATATGTATGTGCACATGCATGTTTGTTTCTAAAAACTATCACTCAAGAAATGTGGAGGTATAAGATATTTCTAATTATTTAAGTGACTAGAATTGCTGAAGACAAGGAATGCACATCGCTTCTGAAGTATTCTTTTTTATAGTATCCAACTAGTAATTAGGATATACTTACTGAAGTATCAGAAATTATAGCTTTCTATAAGAAGCCTTGTCTAAGCAAAACTCCAAGAATGAATTATTATATTTAGGATTAGAAGGATTTTCATTGTGAATTCTCACATGGGTTTTCTAATATTGTGGAAGGCACCTACCTTCTCTGATACACAATTTTAAAAGCAAGATGAAACATGTCATATCCATTAATTCCAACTATTATGATCAAATATACATAAATCTTAATTTAAAAACATCAGCATTATGCACATTTGTTAAATAGCTATTTTTTCTGGAAGCTCTGATAGACACTGTAAAATGTTGCTATATAATGTTACTATATGAAATTGTGCTTGTTACTGATGATGGTGATGATGATAACCTGTTATTGTTTATGATGACAATGATAATAGAAACTGGATTAAAATGCAATAGGAAAACATCCAACAAAAATTCATAAACATCTTGCATAAGTTTATCTTATAAAGAAATCAATTATCATCCAGTAAAATAAACAATTATAAACAGAAAACTGTGCTGTTATTCAATATCAGTGATGTCAAATATTTTTATTAAATATTTTAATGTATATAAATTAAAATATTCATTATACGTTATGACACTTCGAACTAATTGGTCATTATTTTACAAACAAAAAAAATTATATATTAATTTAACCTGGCTTTATGTGAATCATTATTTCCATTCTTTTTTTAGGGGAGGTAAGCTATGAAACAGGGGAATTTTTCTGTATTTTACTTGTCCAATCAAAATACTTCCTCTCTTATAAAGAAAACGGAAAAAAAAATGTTCCATTTTACTTCATTCAAGAATCCTGTGTGAGAGGAGTTTGGACTGCCTGAAGTAGACATACAATTATCATCATAAAATGGGACTGATTCGTGATCGGAGGTGTCATCACAGCTTGGGTATGTACTTACTGTCCACATGAATGTGTAGTTCTGCTTCTGTATATTTTTAAGCTGTCCAAAATTTTACTTTAATTCAAGCTGTCAAAAACTTTCACTTCCCCCACCACTGATTTCATTATCTTTCAATAGTAAAGTCATCCACAGCTGAAGACAACTTGAATCAGTAAATAGCATCACACTGGAGTTAGAAGAACTGAATTTTAATCAAACCATTCTTTTGTTTTGAGATAGGGACAATGAAGCTTGCATGGGATCCTTCCCCCACAAATAGAGAAATAATATGTGCTGTATTTATCTTAGTGGAGTTCTGTAATATTAAAGTCAACATATAATTTGAAAGTACATTTTATGCTAAAAGTGTCAATTTTTTCATAAATTATTTACAGTTGGTAACATTATATTAAATAATAATGCGATTTTTGACATCTCTAATTATTTCATCCATAAAATAACACCTACCTTCTGCTCTTCAGGTTTAATCAGTGAATTATATATGAACAAACAATGTTTACATCTAATTTTAGTTATAAAGACAATTAGTAAACTGGGTGTGGTGGTGCTCACCTATAATCTCAGCAACTCAGGAGGCAAAAGGATCCCAAGTTAGAGGCTAGCCTCAGCAACTTAGCGAGATCCTAAGTAACTCAGGGAGACCCTGTCTCAAAATAAAAATAAAAAATGGAAATGTGGCTCAGTGGTTAAGCACCTCTGGGTTCAATTTCTGGTACCAAAAAGACAATTAGTATTATCATTTCATTTAGAAAGGCTTTCAAGTATTCAGTAAATGATTAATATTTCAAAAAGTAAACTTTTGTTGTTGTTTTTGTTCAGAGGCAAGGTTCTCTGTCTTTATCCTAAAACTTTAGATCCTACTTGTTTCATCTTTGTTTGTCATTAAAAACGAAATTACACAAGCCAGTATTTACTAAATGTTTGCATGTGATTAACATTATTGAAACTAAGTTCATCATATTTTATTTTATTTTTTAAAGATCTCTAATGAATTGTGTTGATATCTTTTCTTACTGCTGTCTTTCTTGTTTTGCAAGTTAGGAAACAGATGCAAAAGTTAAATGCTATGTAAAATTATCAAGTTAAGTCTGAATCTATAGTGTACATATATGTCTATCTTGCTCTGGCTTTGTTTTTAATAAAGTGTCTATTTTAATGTTAATTTCATTATATTATAAATTAATTCATTTTAAAGTATATAAGATATTACTAAGAATACTTTGCTATGGAATAAAATAATATTATCTATACAATAAACACAAGCATCGTGATAATAATGTAAAGCAAAATAAATTCACGTTGTACTTTTTTTCTTTTTTATGTAAATTTTTTCTATTTATATATGACAACAGAATGCATTACAATTCTTATTACATATATAGAGCACAATTTTTTATATCTCTGGTTGTATACATAGTATATTCACATCAATTCGTGTCTTCATACCTGTACTTTTATTTTTTTATTAGTTGTTCAAAACATTACAAAGCTCTTGACATATCATATTTCATACATTTGATTCAAGCAGATTATGAACTCCCATTTTTTTCCCGTATACAGATTGCAGAATCACATCGGTTACACATCCACTTTTTTACATACTGCCATACTAGTGTCTGTTGTATTCTGCTGCCCTTCCTATCCTCTACTATCCCCCCTCTCCTCCCCTCCCCTCCCCTCCCATCTTCTCTCTCTACCCCATCTACTGTAATTCATTTCTCTCTCTTGTTTTTTCCCCTTTCCCCTCACTTCCTATTATATGTAATTTTGCATAACAATGAGGGTCTTCTTCCTTTACCCTGCAATTTCCCTTCTCTCTCTCTTTCCCTCCCCCCTCTCGTCCCTGTTTAATGGTGATCTTCTTCTCATGCTCTTCCTCCCTATTCTGTTCTTAGTTGCTCTTCTTATATCAAAGATGACATTTGGCATTTGTTTTTTAAGGATTGGCTAGCTTCACTTAGCATAATCTGCTCTAGTGCCATCCATTTCCCTGCAAAATCCATGATATTGTCATTTTTTAGTGCAGAGTAATACTCCGTTGTGTACAAATGCCACATTTTTTTATCCATTCATCTAGGGCATCTAGGTTGGTTCCACAGTTTAGCTATTGTGAATTTTACTGTTGTACTTTTAAAAAGATATCTGTGGGAGGTATATTAATGGAAATGATGAGTTTAATTTTAAATATCTCAAGTGGTAGAAAGGCTGTGGCTCATATTGGCTTGAACTGTTTTTCTCCAGAGATGACTGAATGCCACAATTATAACTTTGGACTGGCAAAGCGTCACACTTCTAAAAGATGTCAAAAGCAAAGATCTACTCTAATAACAGGCAAATGTAGACAAAAATGTAAGTCTTGTATTCCATTTGTCTTCTCTCATTGTACAGAGGTTAATCATGGAAACAATATGATTTAAATCAGTGACAATTATTCAATTTATTTTACCTTCATTGTAGTAGCAGACATGATATTTACTTTAATAGATTATTGAAATATATAATAAAATTAGAAGAAAATATTGTTTAGGACCTTTTTAATGCCCTAAAAATGATGAGCTTATTTATCACAATAATGACAATGAAACAGAAGATTTTGAGAAATTAGTAAGTAATTAGCTATAAGGAGGAATAAACAAAAAGATTCAACAGAAAAGAAAAACATATTAAATTCATCTGAGTTATGTTCTTAAACATTATAGAAGCAATAATTTGATTAATATATAGAATGTTTCTGAGTGCAGTAGAAAAGATGTGTCCTCAAATGTCTTTTTCCAATCCAGAATATTATTGATATTAGCACTTGAGGCAGCTTAAAGAAAAAGAAAATCAACAGACCACCTTCACCTAAAATCAACAGAGATTTATTAACAATAATAAGAAATTACTAACAAATAACATGATTTCATGAGTTAGTCATAGGAGTGTAAATGAGTTGTATATAATAATCAAAGGAGAAAGAATATATGACCATGTGCATAATGTTGAAATGTCATTGAATAAAAAAATCAGTGTGAATTCTTAACTAAAAGAACTTAATTTGAAAAATCTCAAAATGTAAATACTGCTCTTGATATGTACATATATAGACACAATATATTACATATATAAATCACTACAATTAACGTTAATACATTTTCATTATAATTAGGAAAGACAAATGCTTTTGTTATTATTAATGTTGCTTATTATTTATTGTTTTGCTGATGCTGAGTGACTAAGCAAGAAAAGAAAAAGAAATGTTTATAAAATTAGAATTAAAAGGTAAAAATAACATAATTAAAAATGTGATTTAAAATATTTTAAAATAATGAGTGCACAGGCCTTAAATATAAAAAAACCATTAAAAATAGATATTAAGATTTTATTGAAAGTTCATATTTAAAACTCAATTGTCTTCCTAAATATAAATACAAGGAAACTGTTGTTCATATGTTATGACCCCAAATCAGGAAAAAGCATAGAAATAAACCTTTTACTAACAAGCCTAGAAATAAATTTGCTAATTAATATTTCTACTGATGAACATAAAATGTAAAGCATTCAAGGATAAAAGACAACATTTTTGCAGATATACATTATCTCTATACATCTGCATATTTAATGTGATTCTGTTGGAGGACAAATGCACTGTATCTAGAAATGATATGTTCTTTAAAAACACATTCTAAAGTTTATAAGGCAGAAAAATTACAATAATAGCTAAATAGTCTGAAAAAGATAATGTACTATAATATTGTAGACACTATCTTGTATTCAAGCACTTCATAATGAACATATGTGAATGAGCAGACTGATTAGAGTACATAGGATTAAATGCAAGCACATGTAGGGATAGATCATATGCTAATAGTGGCATTTCATGTCAGTAAAGGAAGATTAGTTGATTCAATAATTAGTGCTAGAAATCTCAGTACACATCTGGCAAAGAAAACTCTTATAAAATTTGAGTTTTTACCAAATATATTTTACACACACATATACACAACAGATGTTTAATGGTCCAAATAAAAATAGAAGCCATGCATCATTGTGATGTAACATGGATATAATTAGTTTCACAAACTCAGAATAATAAAGACATTTTATTCATATCAAAAACACAAAAGTCATAAAGGGAAGTTTGATTAAGTCAACCAGAGAAAAACTAACCATTTCAGCCTTTCAAAGTTATTATAAAGAAAGTTAAAACAGAAATAATGTATGAACCATATATTTGCAAAACATACTTCATATTCCCAACCTAAAAAGTAAAGAATAAATTAGTGACTTTGTAGAAACAAGAAAAATCTCAGAGAAATAAGAGATGTTCAACCTTATTCCACAAGAGGAAATATAAAATTAAAATGTAAATGTAAAAATATTTCCTACCAAGTTTATACATTAAAAAATGTGAATAACATTTACTACCAAGGAAAATGTAAATGAAACAGGAATATTAAGTATAAACAGGCTTTTACATTTATATTTGTTATTATGTAAATTAATATAAACTTTTTAACTAAAATTTTCAATCATTACAGAAACTTAATATACACATGCCGTTGATTGAGTAATTGCCATAGCAGGAATTTCTAGAGAACTAAAAAATATGCACAGGTATAAATGAAATATATCATTATTTCTAAAAGCAAAAACTAACAAACAATTTACCCATTGGAAAAAATTAAAAGTTTGTCAATAATTAGATTTTGTCCAGATAACAATGAAATGTAATGCAATAATTTTACAACTTAGGCATTACCTCTTCTGAGAAAAACAGAGCCAAAAAAAAAAACACAGTATTCTCTCATCAAAAGCACAATACCACTAATACTAAACACAAAGATACCTGTGTCCTTTATCCTTCCTTTCTTTTCTGATCTTTCTCTTTTCTTTGACAGTATCTCCATTTTTTCTTGGTCGTTTCATCGCCATTTCGATGGCGATACGTTTCATTGTTATGATGGCGATATGGACTGTCATATTCGTAAACTGTAAGTCATTACAAAAAATTGTGATCTCATTTAGCAAACAATTGTAATGCTTTATTTTGATTAATATTCAGAGGCACAGATACATAAACTAGCAATACTGAGTAAGTGTTCTCATCATAGTTTTGCTGTTAGTCTAGATATTTACCAGTTATTTTTTATTGGATTATAATTTACTAACAGTATAAATTTTTAAAATAATTATGATTATTTTCATAGCATTTCACAACCAAGAAGTTTCAATTCCTTCAAATGGTAAGTGAATTTTTAAAAATATTTTGAAGAATAAATTGAATACATACTATACATACTAGAGAGTATTATATATCCAATGACACTAAAAGTAGGAAAGGAAATAGTTTATGCTTGTCCACATTTTACTATGGCTTTATTTTGTTGAAACAATGGAGTACTTGCAAAGAGTAGAAAATTCTGTTTGGGCATCTCCCTTTCTATTTCTGTGTAGAAATACTTTGGATATGACTATAATGGTTTTTTTTTTTTTTTTGATATCTGAGGACATTTGACTATAATGGTTTAATTGTTTTTTAACTTTAAAGTTGGAATGAGAAAGGCGTTTGAGTTTTTTTTTTATAATCTGCTATAATGTCTAGATATGTGTAGAATTAATAGTATATTCTCTTTCTAGAAGGATACTGTGGCCCATGCCCTAAAAATTGGTTATGTTATAGAAACCACTGCTACCAATTTTTTAATGAGAGCAAAACTTGGTACCAGAGCCAAGCTTCTTGTATGTCTCAAAATTCCAGCCTCCTGAAGATATACAGTAGAGTGGAACAGGTTGAGTATTTGTTTTAATCACCCTTCGTATATTTAATCTTTTTTTTTTTAAAGATTTTTTTAAGAGAGAGAGAGAGAGAGAGAGAGAGAGAGAGAGAGAGAGAGAAGAATTCTTTAATATTTATTTATTTATTTTTTAGTTTTCGGCATACACATCTTTGTTTGTATGTGGTGCTGAGGATCGAACCCGGGCCGCACGCATGCCAGGCGAGCGCGCTACCGCTTGAGCCACATCCCCAGCCCCCGTATATTTAATCTTAATGAATGAAATAATTCATTGGAATGTGAGCACTGAAACAGATATTCTAATTCCTACTTTGAATCTTTCTGCCTTAAAATTAAGAAAGAAACCTCAGATTTTATGAATGTCTTGCTTAAGTTGAAATTATGCTAGTTAGGGACAAAATGCATTGTCCCTCAAGTGTGAGAAGAAAAGATTAATTGATTATGGCCTTGCACTTAGCAACATTCTGAGCATTGATTTTATTTGCACCTTGTTGTTTCAAACAGGATTTCTTCAAATTGGTGAAGTCATATCACTGGATAGGACTCATACAAATTCCCACAAATGGATCCTGGCAGTGGGAAGATGGCTCCATTCTCTTGCCCAACCAGTAAGTCTTAGGTCCAATAGATTTTTTTGTTTTTTTTTTTTTTTCTCTTTTTAATACATACATCTCAATAATACCGAATGGTGAATTTTGTTGCGGCATGCTAGCGCACACATACAAACATGATTTGATGAATTTTACTCCCCAATACTATCCACTCTCTCTTCTCCCCAACAGGATCCTAGTTATGAATTTGTTCCTAATTTATCTCTATGATCACTCATCTATCACATTTTCTTTTTCACAAACTCAGGCATTCCCATATTCTCATTCATTTAGAAAAGAAATACTTGTGCCCTAAATTTGGAAGAGAGTATTATGAAGTGGCCAATATAAACAATTATGAGTAATATATATGCTTACTATGTGGTAAATACTGTGAAAGATAGATCTAATATTATGTTCATTTTACAGATAGGAGACGGAAGCAGAGAGGTTAAAAGGTTAAGTACAACATATTCTTTTGTCATGTACTACTAAGGTGACGACAATATAATTGGTGTGCAATAAACTGCACATACAGAGTGTACACTTTGATGCACTTATGAAACCATTAATAAAATCAAAATAATTAGCATATCCATCACCTGCAAAACTTTCTTTTGAACCTCTATAGTACTTTCTTTGTGCTCTTTTCTATATCTCTTTCTGTTCCTAAGAAACAAATCTTTTTTCTCTCACCATAGATTAATTTGCAACAACTAGAATCTTATATAAATGCAGTCATACAATATGTACTAGTTTTATGTTGGACTTTTTTCACTTAGCATAATTATTTGAGATTTGGCATTTCATAACATTAATACTTTCTTTTTATTCCCAAGAGGTATTTCTTTTTGAATGTAGTGCAACTTGTTTACCCTATTGTCTCTCGATATATATGTAAGTAGTTCTCAGTTTTTAATTACAAATAAAGTCACTTGTGAAAATTTGTGTACAACTGTTTCCATGAAAATAAGCTTACCATACTGGGGTTGTAGCTTAGTGGTTGAGCACTTATCTACCATGTGTGAGGCACTGGGTTCAATCCTCAGCACCAGATGAAAGAAAGAAAGAAAGAAAGAAAGGAAGGAAGGAAGGAAGGAAGGAAGGAAATAAATAAATAAATAAATAAAACTAGCTTTCATTTCTCTTATACAAATATTTAAGAGTAAAACAGATGGATCATATAATAGTTTTATGCTTAAGTTTTTAAGAAAATACCAAACTATAATCAAAGTTGCTATGAAATTTTACTAATTTCACATTTCTTTTAGCAGCATGTGAGAGTTCCAGTTGCTCTACATTACAGCCAACATTTGTTATGATCAGTCTTTTACATTTTAGATATACTAATAAATATGAATTGGCATCTCAATGTGGTTTTAATTTGCATTTTCCTAGTCACTAACAATGCTAAGGATCAGTTTTTGTGTTTGTCATTCATTTCAAGTTTTTATTTCAATGATTTCTGGTCTGATATTTGTTATTTACTATATTCTTATTTTATGTTAAATTTGCTTTGCCTTTTCTGGTTTTTTCAGGGTTAAAGCCAAGGCACTGATTTTTCTTTTCTAATAAAAATATTTTTTTTTGCCATTAATATGTGAGATCATTTGGTAACCTCCTTGAACATTTTGATACATTGGTTTTGGTTCTATTCAATTCAAAAATCATTTCTAAATCTCCTTCCATGCTTGTCTTCAATTCATAGATTATTTTTTAATATTTGGAAAATTTCTAGAACTCTTTCTATTACTAATTTCTAATTAAGTACCATCTTGATCAATTTAATATGGATTGAAACCTCTTGAATTTGTTGAGATCAGTTTTATGGACTAGATTATAATCTCTTTTGAAATGCTCCATGTGTATTCGCACAGGTATATTGTGCCATTCTTGAGTTCTGTAAGTGACAATTAACTCAAGATAATTAAGAGTGTTGCTCAAGACTTCTATATCCTTTCTGATTTACTATCTACTTAGTTTTGACTGTTTATGATAGAGGTCGCAATTATTAAAAGGGAAGTATTAAAACATTGTACTGTAAATTTAGTTACCTATATTTCCTTGCAATTCAAATGCTTCTTTGCCTGACATATTTTGAAGCTCTGTTGTTAGATGCATAAAAGTTTAGCTTTTGTGTACTCTTCCCTGAATTTATGATTTTATCATGATATAATAAACTCTTGAGCTAATAATATTTTGTGCTTTGAAATTCTACTTAGTACCATATAAATTTAGTCATTACAGATTTTTGATTAGAATTAGTGTAGCATATATCTTTAATCTGTATGGGTCTTTACATTAAAAGGAAGTCTCCTTAGGACAGACTACAGTTGAATTTTACTTTTTAATCCAGTTTGACAAGTCATGCCTTTTTATTTGGGATGTTTTCTCCATTTACATTCAATAGTTAAGTAATCTTGCTATTTGCTGTTTATTGGTTTTGTTAGTTATTTATTCCTGTTTTCTTTTTCTGAGTTTTATTAAACATTTTAATTTTATTTAGTTTTATTAAACATATTTTTTTTGCTTTGGCTTATTGGGTATATCTTTGTTGTTATTTTAGTTTGCTCTAGAGTTTATTGCATATATATCTAATATATCAATAAATCTGATAATCTATCACTTCATGCATAGTATAAAATTCTTGCAATATTATCCTTCCATTTCTTTCTTCCAAACCATGAGCTATTTTAGTCATAAATTTCCCTGTATAAATGTCATAAGTCTCACACTGTTATTTTTATTAAAAACATCAAATATATTTTAAGTGCTTTAAGTAACAAGATAAAATTATACAAATTATGTTTATGCCTGTCACCATTTCTTTACTCATTTTTATAGAACATAACTTCCATCTACTGTAATATTCCTCCTATACTGAGGATTTTTGTAGCATTGCTTGAAGCTGTTTGTTTCCTAGTGATAAATTATTTCAGCTTCTATTCTGAATATGTCTTTATTTTATCTTAATTTTTGAGAGATATTTTGGATGATGATTTTTTCCCCCCTGGATTGAACCCAGGGCCTTCTGCATGCAAGGCAAGCACTCTTCCAACTGAGCTATATCCCCAGCCTGAGATGCTTTTATTCTTTACACATTTCTGGATTTAAATCCTTTGTTGTTGCTTGTTTTGGGTACTTTCAATAAGTTTCTCCTCACTTCTGTTGTCTAAGAAATCTGCTCTCATACTTGTTTTTGTTCAACAGTACATATGTCTTTTTTCTCCCTGTGGCTACCTAATCACTTTTCTTTGTCATTGGGTTTGAAAATGTGCCATAAGCCTTGTTTTTAGTTTTCTTCATATTTCTTGTGCATGTGGTTTCTTGAGACTCTTAGAAGGGTTTATAATTTTCACTAAAATTAGAAAATGAAGTGTAATTATTTCTTCAAATGTTTTCTCTCCCCCATTTCTTTGGTGTCTTCTTTAGGCCAATCAAATGTGGTCCATTAAGCCTGTTAAAATTGTAGTAAAGTTCACTGATGCTCTATTCATATTTTTACTCTTCTTTATGTTTTTGGATAGATTCCATGATCATGAAAGTTTACTAATCCTTTCTTCTGTAAAGTATAATGTTTCATTAATCCTATAAATGTATGTTTCATCTCAGACATTGAAGTTTTCTTTTCTAGAAGTGTGATTTGGTAGGTGTTTTTAATATTCTCCATGTATGGATTTGAATTTTGATTGATTGATTTGTCTTCTCATTAAGGTTAATTGTTCTTTTTCTTTACTTGCCAGGTACTTTTTTTTTGTGGAATTTTATACATTGGTCTTTTATTAAAAACATTAAATATGTTTTTAATTTTATGTTACATATTTTTATTGCTAAAAATATTCTAGGGGCAAAGATACTTCCTTTATCAAGTACCCTTACTTATAAACCACTTTATCTATTTTGATCTTTTAAAAAATATTACTAATCAGGACATCCAGTCTAGTTAATTATCCCCACTCTAAAGCAGTATTCTTCTAATACCTTGTATTTCAACTCTGTTTGAAATATAAGGTTTTACAAATCGCTAGATAGTTCTTTCTCCATCTTTGAATATTTTTCTTGCACACATGCATTGATTAATACTCTGCTGAATACTCAAGAAAGGACTTCTGTATGTCTTTGGGTTTCTTTATTTGCTCAGCTCTTTGATCTTCAGTCTGTGTCTATGAATTACAGTTGCTTTGATGTTTACAGACTAGAGTATTCTGATACTCTTTTTTTTTTTTTATAGCCTGCTCTTTTAACCACCTGATAGCATAGACGAACTCTTCACACTTGGGCTAAATGACAATACTTCAACATTTATTGAGCTTATAGAATATAGCTTTTATCCTTTGAATGAATGTTAAGATAATTCTCAGAAAAAGGCCATTTCTATCATTTGGAAGATCTGTCCTATCATATTTACTATTAATTAATTTACTTATAATGGCACAAAGATCAGGAATAAAACCCCAATATTTTGATACTACTAATTTCTCTCTCCTTTGGTATCATAAAATCAGCAGAAGTTTTCTAGACTGTAAATATTTAAAATTCTTTATTTATATTTTAGTTATTTGAATATTCAACTCTTCCATAAATAATAAAAATAATCACAATATCAATGTTAATGTTAGATTAATTAGGTGTTTATGTCTTTCAGACACAATTTTAAGCATTTTATATGTGTCTCCTCATTAAGAACTCTTAAAATTCCTAAATAGGGCTAGGGATATAGCTCAGTTAGTAAAATGCATGCACAGGGCCCTGGGTTCAATCCTCAGCAAAACACACACACATACATACACACACACACACGCCTATATAACAAGTATTATTTTACTCTAATTTTACAAGTAAAGAACAGAATCTTAGAGTGTGTAATAACTTACTTAAGCAGGGATTCAGATATATATGCATTTCTGACTCTATCACAAGAGTAATCATTGAATGGTTTTGAATTTGCTTTGCTACTTTAATGGGTAATTGGCAGTGGTCAGTCAACAACCATTTACTGTCATGTGTTCAAGTTTTCTGTTGTATACATTGTAACAGAAACTATCTACCTTCCTATCACATTTTATATTTCTGACATGAAGACCCCCAGTATTGATGTAGGATGGGCTAATTTCTACATGACCTGAGATTTTATTTATTTTTTTAATAAATTTTTTTTTGAGAGAAAGAGAGAGGTTTTTTTTAAAAAATATTTATCTTTTAGTTTTCGGCGGATACAACATCTTTTTGTATGTGGTGCTGAGGATCGAACCCGGGCCACACGCATGCCAAGCGAGCGCGCTACGGCTTGAGCCACATCCCCAGCCCTGAGATTTTATTTTTAACAAAATTTTCTTCTCCCAAAATACTAATAAGATTGTATATCATATTATTTCCAATCTACAAGTGTAATTTTTGTTCATGCACATGGTAAATATTTTTGAGTACCTGTAAATGTCCAGCAGAGATAACTGCAGGGATGATTAGGACATAACTCCTTCAAGAGCTTTATACTGCAGTCAAAAATGTAGTTAAAGGGACTGGAGGTGTAGCTGTGGTAGAGTACTTGTCCAGCACGTGAGAGGTCCTGGGCTCCATCCCCAGACTGGAAAACAAACAAGCAAACAAAAAAAGAAATGTAGTTATCAAAAAATAAGCATAATGTGATGTGAAGAGTGATAAGAATGATGTGGGAAAAGACACATAGAAATCAAAATAACATGTGAAGAAAGTGAAATTAGAGAGAACAAGGCACTATTTATTTCTCTGTGGTGAGAACATTCAAAAGTCACTCTTCTAGCTAATTCTTAAACATAAAATAGCTAATTGGTAACTGAGTCACCCTGTTGTGCTGTGGAATGCCAGAAATGACAAGTACATGAAGTGATAACTATGCTAACTACACTTATTGATTATATTAATCAATATACATTAGAACATTAAATTCTTCTCCAGAAATAAGCACAATTATAAAGTGTAAATCAAAATTTTAAAAATTAAGAATGAAAAAAAATTAGGCTTAGATTGAGACCCACTAAGGGTAGTCACTAAAAATTCCAATCTTGTTTCCGATGTAGCGTCTAGTTTTTCCATATGTACAGGGTTCATTTCCTTGTCCTTTAAATACATGTAACATCAGAGCACAGTCTGTCCCTTTGATTTGTCAGTTTCACATTGAAGTCACATGATCACTCTTTCTTGAATATTCTATTTCTGACCTATTCTTGGAAGAAAAAAATTCACTAATTATATAAATCATATGACTCCCAAACACTAAATATACCAGAATAAAATGCACATACAGATTTAGCCATCTCCACATAGAATGACAAACACACATGCATGCATGCTCATACACACATGCTTGCATATTTGTGGATATGTTTCAGGATTTTATGATCTATTTTAATTTCTTTACCAACTAAAATTGTATCTATAGTCGTCCTTCGGTACCCCTAGGGGAATATATCTGTGGTTTACTGTATCTGCAGATATAGAACCTGAAGATGTTACAGAGTATCAACTATATGAAGAAGATGTTTTTTTTTCTTGTACAAAAAATTGCAGCTATTGAATTCTAGGTTCAATTCTGAATTTATTTCTTATCTAAATATTAATTTTTAAGTAAACATTTTGAAGCTTTTATTTTACTCAGATACATATATGAAGAGATTTTAGACTTCTGAACTATCTAATTTCCAAAGTATAAAAAAAAACAGTGGCTCATATTTAAAATATGAAACTTTCATTTTCTGAGATGCCTACATTTTGTATATCTGTGAATTAGGAGGGTCAAGCATGGTACTAAATTCTCCTGCAATACCTTTTAAATTCTTATAAGTATTATTGCTTTTTTATTTCCTGCATTAACAAAGTTATGAATATGTCATGTGTAATTCTCTCCAATCCAGACTAACACTGGTGGAAATGCAGAATGGAACCTGCATTGTATATGGCTCAAGCTTTAAAGGCTACACAGAAAACTGTTCAGCCCTGAACACATACATCTGCATGCAAAGGATTGGGTAGACTCAATAAACCATCCCAACACAAAACAGGAACAGAGAAGGGATTGCACCGGCAGGAACAATGCTATGTGGCTGAAGGAAACAAACAATGGGACAAACACAGGAAGAACATACACCTCCTGGGCTCTCCAGAATAGGACCACAGAACTATTCTGCATCTAGTATTCTGTAAGACAAAGGAAGGCAATTCAGAAATCATCAAGTCCTCCTCTACCATGGCCCAGACTGCACAGGATGGAGTTGGGTTCAGCCTCGATTAAAAAGAATGGAACCAATCCAGGAAAGTGGTGAGGAAAAAGTAGCCCTATAAATCACTGGTGGTACATCTAGCAGAGAAAACTGCTCCATGGGTGGGCAGTGCTGTGCCCAGCTATGGGGGTAATGTTGCCATCCAAATCAGTTAAGAAGGCAGGACTGCTGCCCCAGTGGGCCTGGAGGCAGAGCAGAAAGCCAGAGAGGTTTATTCTTGGAACTTAAGATCTCGTGGAGTTTGCCTACCTAGGTTTTGGACTTGCTTGGAGCCCATCATCCTTTCTTTTTCTTCGACATTTCCTCCTTTTGGGGTGGCAGCTTATCCAGTGCCAATCCCAACCTTGCACTTTGAAAGCACATAATTTATTGTATTTCATGAGTTCACAGCTGGGGAAGAATGTTGCCTGTCCCACCCAACAATATTTTGGGTGGGACAGGCAACATTTGGATAAATATTAACTATTTAGGTAATACTTAGATGAGACTTCAGGCTTTAGATTTTAGAGTTGGTGCTAGAAGGAGTAAAGCCTTTTGGGGTTGTTGGGATGGAATGAGTGTATTCTGCATGTGAGGACATAAACCTTTCAGAGGCCAGGGGTAGACTAAATGTTTGTGTACCTCCAAACTTCATATTTGAAACTATAACGCCCTCCAAATTATAATAGAAGGCAGGCCTTTGGAAGGAAATTTGGGTCATAAGTGTTAAGCCCTGGTGAGTAGGATTAATGCTTTTAATAAAAGACCCCAGAAACCTCTCTAATCTTTCTTATCACAAGGGGATACAAGGAGAATTTGAGTCTACACCTGCAGGAGGATCTTCAGCAGAGCCCAACCATGACGGCATAAACTTTGTTTATAACTCACCTAGTCGATAAAACTAAGAACAGAGGGGAAGATAGCTGGGCATTCGTTATCACTGAAAATAACAGAAAATGATTCATAATGTTGTTGCATAATATATTGTTACTTGGGGAAAGTATTACTAAACCAGCAGACAGGTAAAATGTATTAAATATCAGAACTAAATAAAAATGGAAATCACAACCGAAAAGCAACCACAGAAACTGGCTTTTATTCTGAGAGCTTATAATAAACTTTGGGACTGTTAGTTTCTGTTTTGATGGTTGTCATGGAGCTTGGAAATACAAGACAAAGTTTAGTGGTCATTTAACCTGAGTGTGAAATGCAAGTTCTCTTTCTAAAACTGAGATCCCCCAAATGTTTCAAACTCCTACAAGAAATAAGAAATAAAACCTATACTTCAGAAAATAGAAAGAGAGATTCTTGCTAGTCTTGACCTTTGAAAAGATGGTGGAGAAAAATGAAAACCTCCCATGAAACATTTATTCCCACAGATAAGCCCTCATTTACATTTACAGCCCAAGTCTGGCTAACAGTGAAGTCAAATAATAAAAGTATGGCAGTCAAATAATTTATTTGAAGTAGTTCAAGGTTATTAATTGCATTACTACTAACAATGTCAATATTGTCTGAAGGGAAATAACCTCAACCAGTTCTCAAGAACTTTGGTAATCTTCCAAATTTCTCAGACACAAAGATAAAATTACAAAAGGTAGAAACTAAAGGATGGGAGGGTGGAAAGGGGAGTAATCTTGGTGAAGGGTCTTGAAAATCTGAAATCATGTCAAAATAAAGAGCTAAAATAACCAAACAAATTGAAGTCATCTTTGAAACCTGTCTTTCTCTTACACAATACACCAATATGTCAGCAAATCCAAGTCTCTCTTTCTCTTTCTCTCTCTCTCTGTCTCTGTCACACACATACACACACACACATTTACATATGCACACAACTACATATTCATATGTGCACATAGTATAGCAATATATGTTGGCCAATCACTTCCCAGTACTTCCCCTGACAATTGTTATTTTCAAAGAGAAATACTATTGAATTCTGACTTCTAGTGTTTGTACTGAGGAGTTATCTTCTTAGTCTATTATTGTTTGTCTCTTCATATGGCTACTGTTAAGATTATCTCTTCATCTTTGCTTTCAGTGTTTTGGCTGTTACAGCTTGGTAGGGTTTTGTTTCTGTTTATTCTGGTCCAAGTTTATGTATTTGTTTTTCTGTCCCATTCTGTATCTATGCTCACCCTAAAACTTCAATTCCACATACATTTTCCTATTGAGTATCACATTTCATTTATCCATTTACCTATTTGCATTTTTCCATTTTGTCTATTTCAGTTCATATATTTTTATGCTGATTTTTCTTTGAGCTCACCAGTATTATTTTTGCTTTCAATCTTCTATTTCATTTTCATTGAATTCTTAATTTTGGAAATTTCAGCTTTTAAGTTTTAGAATGCCCATTTGTTTGGATTTGGAGATTGAAATCTTCCAGTGACATTTTAAACTTTTACATCTTTTTTTGTCCTGTGTTTAAATAATTGTTAAATACATATAGATAGTTGTTTTAAAGTCCCACTCTGGTAACCCAGATAAGGGACATTGTATATCGGAATCTCTTATTGGTGCCACCATGCTTGACTTTTTTTTTTTCCCATGACCTTCTGCTAGCTAGTTTCTGATTCCTAAAAACTGGAGGACTTTGGGAGGTTTCAATTCCCGCCCCCCCCCCCACCCCAGAATCTATGGCCTGTCTCTGTTCTGTCTTCAATTTAGCAAATGACTAAAAAAAATGAGTGATATTACCATTCTAGTACACATAAACAGTAAGATTTTTCCAGTTTCTTTTTCCCTAAGGTCAGGATCGGGTCTATGAAAAACAGTAAGGAAACAACAGTTGCAGGTTGCTGAACTATTCATCCTACTTTGACATTAATGCAATTTAGTTATTATTCCTTATATTTGTATGAGTTAAAAACTGCATTTTTTTCTTTTTTGATTTATCATTACCATGCTTTATCTGGGATGCATAAATGTTATCCATTACTTTGTGTTACAAACATTTACTTTCATGAGGATTTTTTAGAATGTTTATTTAAAATTTTTGATGTATTATTGATTATATCATATGAAATTATTGATTACACCATGTAATTACCACATATTGATTTCATCTGACACTTTTTGCCTGTGGCCCCACATTATCTGGTAGTTTCAATGACCCCATTTGGGATTTGGGTAGTGAAGGGAATAATAGTAAGATGCCTTCATCCATCTTTTTCTCCTTTGTGGAAAAACTTCTTCTTTTTGTAATTGTGCATTTTTACTATTGTCATCACTTTATTAATGTTTTCATTCCCCTTAGTGTGTAAGATCATGAGAGTAGACATGACTCTATGATTTGTACAATTGTGAATCTCCAGCATTTAAGATTTCCTATTCAATGTTAAGGAAAACAAAACTTCTTGAATGAGTAAAATTGCAATTGAGAGTATCCTTTTCCATATTCTGCACATTAAGTGCCTAGTAAAGTTTAATATCTCCTGGATCTCTGTAATTTCTAAAACATTACTTTCTTATTTAAAATGCAATTTTTCTTTGAGGTTCATTTGATCAGTCAACTTTATCTTCTTATACTCTTTTTTTTTTTTTTTTAAATCAGGAATTGAACCCACTGAGCCATGTTCCCAGCCTTTTTAATTTTTTATTTAGACACAGGGTCTTGCTAATTTTGCTGAGGATCTTGTTAAATTGCTGAGGCTGGCTTTGAACTTGTGATCCTTCAGCCTTGGGCTCCTGAAATGCTGGGATTACAGGTGTGAGCCACTACACCTGGCAGGACCACTCATTCTTGTCATAGGTGATCATAATGAGTCAAAGAAAGACTAGTGTTTTATATAAACCTAGATATGAGAGTGAAACCAGAATGACAGGATTTATTTTGAAAGTACTGCAAGATCAGAAAGTCTTAAAACTGGATGCACAAAGGTTGGATATAGCATTTCTGCCCCAGTAATGTTACCATATTTTTTTTTGTTTTCTTTGTATTTTTTCTGGTACTACTGTTTATTGCATTTATATTTTTATAAATTAAGAATTAAAGAATAATATATGGACTTCAATGTTGAATAATATCTATTTCTAGCTAAGTAAATAATTCACATAGTTGATATCATTACACAGGAAAAATTCAAATGTTCACATTTTTATTACTTTCTGACATATTTTCTGTAATATGGATGTGTTGTTTTCTTACAGATAAAATAGTCATACTTTAGCAATCTTTGGTAATTACCTGGCCATATTTTATAAATATGCATTTATTATTAGCATTCTATGCTCAATTGAAGCTCAGAAGAAACAAGACATTCCATTAAATACCAAATTTACATTTTAAAAATTTATATATGACAGAAGAATGCATTACAATTCTTATTACATATAAAGCACAATTTTTCATATCTCTGGTTGTAAACATAGTATATTCACACCAATTCGTGTCTTCATACATGTACCTTGGATAGTAATGATCATCATATTCCACCATCATTAATAACCCCCATGCCCCCTCCCTTTCCCTCCAACTCCTCTGCCATATCTCGAGTTTGTCTATTCCTCCCATGTTTCACCTCCCTATCCACTATGAATCATCCTCCTTATATCAAAGAAAACATTTGGCATTTGGTTTTGGGGGATTGGCTAGTTTCACTTAGCATTATCTTCTCTAACTCATTCCATTTACCTGCAAATGCCATGATTTTATTCTCTTTTATTGCTGAGTAAGATGATGACAGAATTAAAAAATGTAAATCATAAATTTAGTGATTAGAAAAGTAAAAACCTAATATACAAAGTATAATTCTATTCTAACAGTTGTGGGAGTTTCTAAATGAATGATTTCTGAGAAAAAAAGCCGTGCAACATTATTCACAATTTGATCAAGTAAATAAATGTAAAAACACACTAAAAAATAAAAACTCTGGAAGTGTTATAGAATTGTATGTTTCAATTTTCTGACGATGGACAACAAATTCTAAAACTATATTAATTACTCTAAAACCATTGTCCAATAGAAACATGCCAATTATATCTCCAGTCTAATATACTTGTGTATCAGAATATGAAAAAGCACATACAATAAAAACTGGACTAATATAATTTGTGAATCAAAACATGTAAATTCTAATAGAATTAAGAAGTGTATTATTAGCTATTTTTATCAATTTAATCAGGTGTTTATCAAATGGTGTTTAGTAATAGATATTATTATTTTTATATATGTATATGTTTATGTGCATATTTAAAAGCAATATGTATCTATTATATAGTAACCTAGACATGAACGTTTATTAGAATGAAAAGCAAGTCATTCCAAATTCTTATCTTCTAATGCCTCTTGTGAATGAGATATGAAAGTAGCTACTGTCTAATATCTTCAACTTGTGTATGTTTTGCATATATTTTTAAAAAATTAAATAATGGCTTTAAATAAATATTTAATATAAATAAATACCAAATTTACTTGATATAAATTTTATTTTTTGAATACATTATATTTGGATATAATTATAAAAATCAGAAATGCCACTTCCTCAGTTCTCTAAGAAATATAAATAATAAATAATATATTAAGCTCCTTCAAAATTTAAATCTGGAATTAGAAATGTAAAAATGTATTTAATTATATCATCTCTGACCTAAGGCAATTTCAGAATATTTTCATTTTCCCTGCGATTTACTGCATTTCCTTTCATAGTACACTTTTGATAATCAGATTCTACAATATGTAAAGTACAATACAATTATTAATCATCTATCACAATTAACTTTTTTGTGGAAAAGTGTAATTTGACTCAGAACACACTATATACTGGTAAGCATAGATGATAATTTCAAAAGATCAAATATTCAAGTTTGACAATGAGAACCACAAACTTCAAGAAATGTTTCACAAAATATGTGCTATAATTCCTGACAGAGTGCATACATTTACTATATTAAGTACAGTAATTAAAAATAAATATTCAATTGCTTAGAATTCTAGGTGAATGTAAAGTCTGAGGTGAAGCTAAAGTGAGTCTAGGTCTAGTCATTTACAGCTGAGGAGTCACAAGAAATTGGTAGGAATAAGATTACAAATGGCCTTAGACACATTGGTGTGCTTTTATCTGAAGTGCTGAGGAAAGCCGCTTAAATGTTACTAAACTACACATTCAAAATTACAGATTGTAAAGATTTACATGACTGCAGTGTAGAAAATATTTTAGAATAACATTAAATTTGAGTGATGGTTACACTTCTTGAAATATTCTAGTATTTACAACCCACTGAAATTTATCATACAATTTCATCTTTGCATCTTTCTTCAATATTCAATCTCAGAAATCTTAGTTCTAAACAAATATAATATTGATGACCCTTTTTCCAAGAAAACATGTTTCTTGAAAAATAGAGGCCACATGGTCTATGCTGATGCCAATTTTATGAACAAACAGTACATTTCCCTACAGTGTAAAGAAAAGTAAAAAAAAAAAAAAAAGAGAGAGAGAGAGAGACTATAATTGAACGCTTCCCATCAGTGAAAGTTGGTATACAGTAGGTATATACAGCAAATCTATCTTGTATTAATAAATACAACATATGAGTTTTACGTTTACATTATGGACTGCATAATCTTATATTTTTATTATACATCTTTAAACCAATAATCCACTTCTATGAAAACAATTTGGTCTTCAAGATTCATAAGATGCTTATAGGAAAACAATTTTTTTTAAACAATTTCAGGCCTGAGAATATAGTATAGTGGTAGAGAGCTTGCCTTAAATATAGTAGGCTCTGGGTTCAATTCTTAGCACAAAAAACAATAACAGTAAAAAATCACAGAATTAAGCCAGGAGAGACGAGGCACACCTGTAGCCTCACTTACTTGAGAGGCTGAGATAGAAGCAATTGCTTGAGTTTAGGAGTTTGAGGCCAACCTGGGCAATATAGTAAGATGCTTCCTCAAACAAACAGTCAAACAAAAAACAACCCCAAAACAATACCTCCCCAACACACACAAACCATTGTCAATTGTCAATGCAATATCATGATTGAAATTTTAAAAGTATATGTGTATTTATGGTCAGGCATGGTGGCACATGCCTGTAATCCTTGCGGCTCAGGAGGATGAGGCAGGAGGATCGCAAGTTCAAAGCCAGCCTCAGCAAAAGTGAGTTGCTAAGCAACTCAGTGAAACCCTGTCTCTAAATAAAATACAAAATAGGGCTGGGGATGTGACTGAATACCCCTGAGTTCAATCCCTGGAACCTCCCACCAAAAGTATATGTGTATATTTAAGGAGAAACAAATCTATAAGGTTAAAAAATATCAGATAAAAATATATAAAATCATAAATGTATGCATTCATATAAACTAATATCCTAAGAAACTTTTATTCATCCTCAGGTTAACATTTGATAGATGGCATCATTTTGAGTATGTAAATAATGTATGTTTAAAACTACATGAGAAACAGTCTTTTTTATTAATTAATATAATTTAACCAGGTATATATGACAGCAGAATGCATTTTGATCCATTGCACACAATTGCAGCACAACTTTTCATTTCTCTGGCTATACACAATGTAGCTTTGCACCATATGTGCAGTCATACATGTACCTAGGATAATGATGTCCATCTCATTCCACCATCTTTCCTGCCCCCATACACCCTTTCTTATCCTGTCTCCCCTTTTTCCAATCAAAGTTCCTCTATTTTTCCTACACCCCCCCCCCTGCCCCTTATGGATCAGCATCCACTTATCAGAGAGAACATTCAACCTTTGGTTTTTTGGGGGATTTGCTTACTTTACTTAGCATGATATTCTCCAACTCTATCCTTTTACCTCCAAATGCCATAATTTTATTCTTTTTTAATGATGATTAATATTCCATTGTGTACATATACCACAGTTTCTTTATCCATTCATCTATTGAAGGGCATCTAGGTTGCTTCCACAGTTTAACTATTGTGAATTGAGCTGCTATGAAGATTGATGTGACTGAATTACTATAGTATGCTGATTTTTAAGTCCTTTGGGTATAGATCCAGGAGTGGGATAGCTGGGTCAAATGGTGATTCCATTCCAAGTTTTCTAAGGAATGTTTATACTGCTTTCTAGAGTTATTGCACCAATTTGCAGTTCCACCAGCAATGTATAATATGCTTTTTCCTCCACTACCATATCAATACTTATTCTTGATAACTGTCATTCTAATTGGCATGAGATGAAATCTTAGAGTAGTTTTGATTTGCATTTCTCTACTAGAAATTAGAAAAATAAAAATATTGAACATTTTTTCATATGTTTGTTGATTGAATGTATATCTTCTTCTGAGAAGGGTCTGTTTAGCTCCTTAACCCATTTACTGATTGGGTTGTTTGTTTTTTTGTGTGTGTTGTTTTATAGAAGACACAGTGACAAACCCACATAAGTACAGTTATCTCATATTAGACAAACGTGCAAAAGCATACATTGGAGAAAAGATAGCCTTTTCAACAAATGGTGCTGGGAGAATTGGAAATCCATATGCAGCAAAATGAAAATAATCCTCTATCTCTCACCATGCACAAAATTCAACTCAAAGTGGATCAAGGACCTAGAAATTAGACCGAAGACCCTGTGCCTAATAGAGGAAAAAGTAGGCCCAAATCTTCATCATGACAGATTAGGTTCTGACTTCCTTAACAGAACTCCTATAGTGTAAGAAATAAAATCAAGAATTAATAAATGGGATGGGCTCAAACTTAAAAGCTTCTTCTCAGCAAAAGAAACAGTCAATGAGGTTAGCAGAGAGCCTACATTTTGGAAGCAAATTTTTGCCACATGCATGTCAGATAGAGCACTAATCTCCAGGAGAAATAGTCTTTGACATACAAGTAGATTTTACTGATAATATGCTTACATCTATGTAGGTTTGTCAATCAGGTTAGACAGTTGAAACATCACTAATTCTTTCTTCTCCCTTGCAGATAAAGTCATGACTCAGAAAGTCTTCCAAAATTGTGTGCTTAATTTGCTTCCTTGATGGAAAACAGATTTTATGGATATTCTTCTGATTCATCAAAAAATTCAGGAAGATCAATTTTAAACTCACACAGAAAATACTTGGGTATCCTATGTTTAAGATACTGTAGTAAATTCAGAAATACAAAAATGATAAACAAAACATTACTTGCTTTAATGAACACAAATAGAAGGTCAGAAACAAAAAATTAGAATGCAAATATGACGAGTTTATGCAGCATTTTGTCACAGAAGAAGGACATATTGTGATGATAGTGAGCAAGTTATTCAGAGTCAAGAAAGATTTTTTTTTTTGGTACTGGGGATTGAACTCAGGGGTACTCAACCACTGAGCCACATTCCCAGCCCTATTTTGTATTTTATTTAGAGACACAGTCTCACTGAGTTCCTTAGTGCCTTGCTTTTGCTAAGGCTGGTTTTGAATTCATGATCCTCCTGTCTCAGCCTCCCAAGCCAAAGAAAGATTTAATAAAGAAAATGGGGGAAAGTCTGAAAATATTTAAGTAATGTTTGTGATATGCTTAGAAAGTGCTCAACAATTTCATAAGTTTGGTAATAATAATCCCCAGTTCTATGTAGAGAATATTATATTTGGTCAACAAATTGGATTGAATTAAAGATATAAACAGAAAATGTAAACATACTTTTGATTGTGTCTAGTGGGAAATAGACTTACACTGTGTGGCTAAGTTTTAAACAGATGAAAGCAACAGTCAAATACCAGAAATACTGTGGTGGATTTCCGTAAAGAAGAGAGAACAGGAAGATTTATAGAAAGAGATGAATGAAGACTGTCACATCAGCAGCTGAATATTTATTCAGAGTTCTTATCTATTGTAAGTGTAGTAAGCTGTATGACAGCATGACTCACAACTTAAGAGGACAGGGAGACAAATAATTATAAAATTGCAATCCTTTTTGAGTTAGCTGATTTAAAAAAGCAAGCAGGTGAACTGAATTCCAAAGAGGAGCTAAGCCCTGCTTCTGCCAGAAGAGAAAACACCTGCTGTACTCACCTTTGATAAAGCTTAGCAGGTATAGATAGCAGCCATAAATGCAAAGAGTTTTTAAAAATGTTAGGGCAAGTTGATGTGAGGCTTTAGAGTTCCAGTAGCCACAGGCCAATGGGAGGTCACACTCATATCCCAATTATTTTCTTTGGGCTTCTGCTAGTTGCTCAATGAAAGATGGGGAAAGAACAGGAGATCCTAGAGGAAGAGTCTCCCTTTTTTTCCCCCAAGTGTATAGTGCCTTCCAAGGTCCAAGGGTGCATCTGGAGCAGACCTGTACTCTGGGTCCTGCATGAGTAAAAGTTGGTGATGGGTTTCTCGTGGGAGACAGGTATAAGACCCACCTGGTCCTGATTCCAGGACACAAGTAAAGATAAGCAGTCACGGGGGAAATAGTAATACATGCTAAAGCTCTGCCACCACTTTGCTGCCCCCCA